ATTAGTAACTGACATTTACTACGTTGGTTACTAATAATATGGAATTTGTAACTGGCATTATATTAGTCGGTTACTACTGATGCTTCTGTAAATAGCATAATATACGCCAGTTACAAATAGAGCATTACAAATAGCATTTTTTCTACTAGTGAAGAACGAAGCAAATGAAGTTCTGAGAATTGGCGTCAACAAGTAGGCTTGGCGCCTAGCGCTAACTCCAGCGTCTGGCGCTACAGCCAGTTAATTGGCACTGATGTTATTTCAGCGGCGCCTGAACATTCAACCACTCATAATGGTTCTAACCTTTTGCAATATATTTTGGGTTCCTTGGTAAGCAAGTTAGCCCCTCTAAGCAATTTGACACGATTTTCGGTAATTGGCTTGATTGCATAAAGTGATCGACCTGATGAAAGATTGTCTCACTTAGCTTAAAGCGCCTAAGCATTGGCTCACCGTAAAAAGCACCGACATACTGGTTCATTCGCAAATGGCACCAACGTATTGGTTCATTCATTCAGCAAAGGGCACCGACATACAGGTTCAAGCAGTAAAAGCGGCGACGTACTGGCATAGCGGAAGCAAAGTTCAAGCAAACTTTTAAAGATCGACAAGCGGAGATCTTCGGTAATTTCCTTTGGAAAATTATTGCAACAAATGGGGATACCTTCAAGCGAGGATATCTTCGACAACATTCCCTATATTGTGGAAAGTTGTTAAAAACAACTGAAGGTGATTTCAAGCGAAGTTGTCTTCGATCATGTTCCCTTAGATGTGGAAGATGGTCACAAAGCGGAAGAGGATTATTTCAAGCGAAGCAATCTTCGATAGTGTTCCCTAGTTTATGGAGTATTATCAAAGCGGAAGAATGTCGTTTCAAGCGAAGCAATCTTCAATATTGGAAGCAGTTACAAGCGTAGCGGTTTTCAGGCGGGATAGCATTCTCTTGGCAGGAGGACATCAAAACAGTAAAGAGGCAACAAATCAATTACTTTCAGAGACGTGTGCTTGACGATGCAAGATACGCATTTCTTAACTCTTTTATCTGTTTAACTAACGCTAGGTTGCAGGTATCGGCGTTATAAGAGTAATTTAGGAAAGCAGAACGTTCTGAATCATTCTCCGTCCCTATCGATACTTTGACTTTTGTTTTTGAAACTTGCGTCTCTCAAAACTCTGTCAAAGTGGGAGCTTCTGTAGACACCCATTTGTCTCTCCCCAAAACCAAACCCAGTGATGAGTACCTTACATGTCGAATCATAATCGAATGAAGTTAAAGTGTGGAAAGTTTAGTGTTGCGGATAGTTTTAATTTCTTCTCTCCTCCCTCTATTTTTGAAAACCTATTTTAAGAAAACAGCCAATCCAGTTTGGTTGGTCCATGATATGGGTCCAATAGTAGTGTAGTTGGACGGAGCTTGAAAAGAGCTTTCCAACGATATATTATAAACCCAATTCCGATGAATATTGAGGAAGTTATGGCCAAATTATTGAACTGGGCTTGGTTTGAACCTTATATGCGGCCTAATGGTCTAGAGGAGGGCCTAATATGGATTTATCATTCCTAATGCAATTAGGAATGGTTTTAATCTTTTAGATTCTTCTAGAAGGTTCTTTTCATTCCTAATTCAATTAACATTGATAAATTGACTTTTGTTGACTTTTTAGAGTTTTAATCAGAATCAAAGAACGTTTTTGAGGAAAATACGATTTTATCCTCCTGTACGGCAATTTCTATCTGATTTTAAGAAAACATGTCAATTTCTTAGTCAGCGCCGAACGCCAGCTGTAGTGCCTGACGCTACGCTTGGCGCCTCGGGCTAGCCTTAGTGCCTGGCACTAAGGTTAGCGTTTGGCGCTAATCCGGTTTTTTGCGTCTGAACTCTGTTTTTGATGTTTTATCTTTTGGCTGATTTTCTCTATAGATTCATCAACTCTCATCAAGATTCTCTCTTAATCTCTCTCTCTCTCTTTTCTAAACTAGCCTTCTCTCAAATATAAAATTTCGCATTCATTAGACTTTGATACACCTAGCATAATTCGAAGTTGCCTTCGCTCTAGACGTGAAAGGTTTTAATTTCTGATGGTTTGGTCCCAAATCTCTCACAAGTAGAAAAAACGCTATTTGTAACTAATAAAAACGGGCTTTTTGTAACCAACATTGGCCGTTACAAGTACTTGGGTTACAAATAGTCCTGTCAAATGTAACGGACATTGTCCATTACAAATGGGTGCCTATTCGTAACAAACAATTCAATTGTTAGTTACGAATAGGCACCCATTTGTAACGAACAATTCAATTGTTAGTTACGAATAGGTAAATATTTGTAACCCACAATGGATATGTCGGTTACAAATAGGTACCTAATTGTATTGGACATGTTAATTGTTGGTTACAAATGCTCATTTTCGATATTAAAAAAAACCTAGCAAATGCTAGGTCGATGCAAATTTAATTATTATTATTGTTATTATTATTATTATTATTATTATTATTATTATTAACCCTAACACTGCCCTTGCCCATGACCCAAACCCGCCCCCACCCTCACCCCCACTTCACAACCACAACCCACTATCCTACACCGCGAACTATCTTCACTACCACCACGATTCTCCAGACCCCAACACCGTGACAGGCACCACCACCCATAAAAAAAATCGCGTTGTACTAATTTCCCAACCTAACATGTACTCCTTCTCCCCCACCCCCGACCGCCACAACAACCAATGCACGAAAAACCACCTCACCACCCGTATAAAATTGTCAAGAAATAAACAAAATTAAACAAAAGTTAACACAAAAAACTATCTCAAAATTAACAAACACAAGTATAATCAGATCTAAGGTTTCATTTAAAAAAAAATCAGATAAAAAAAACTATAAATTATAATTACACATTAAAAAACGTCCAAAAATATAAAATTATACAATTTTCTCAAAAAAGTGTATAAAAATTACAATTATATCAACAAATTAATTATAATCAAGACTTAAATAAAAAATATATAAAAACAAGAATAACTAGATCTATACAGTAACCTAAATAAAAATCGAATCTGAATTAAAAACCTTGACATCTTAATGCTCGCCCTGAATAATTATTTTGTGGGTGCTTAGCATTCTTCTCAGCTTTCGTGGCTGGTCGACGCTGTACGGTGGAGCAATGTAGTCGGTGGTCGACGGTGCACGGTGGAACAACATGGTGTCAAACGGTGAAGCAACTTGAATGGTCGATGAGTGAAGAACTTGCAACAATGTTGGAGTTAAGAAGAGAGAGAAAATGGAGTTTGGAGAAGATAGAGAAATGACATACCTATGGAGTGAATAAGGATTTCATAAGAGAGTTGAGAAAAGAGAAGATGGAAAAAGGTAGAGGGGGGTGGCTGAGTGAGTTTGTGAATTAGTTTAGGTTTCCAACTTATATATGGGCCTTTTATATTTGGATTAGGCTTTCCAACCCATTAAAAGAAAAACGGTGAGAAGTGGGGAAAATGGGCGGTTATAAGAATAGAGAAAAATATCCATCCTATTTGTAACCAACTATATGTTGTCTGTAACAAATAGGATGTATTTGTAACCAACTATACGATGTTAGTTACAAATAAGATGTATTTGTAACTAACATTATGTTGTTCGTTACAAATACTATTCTATTTGTAACAAACATGGCAAATGTTGGTTACAAATATAGTATTTGTAACTAATAAAATGTTGTTGGTTACAAATAAGGTGTTAAAATAGCATTTTTTCTACTAGTGTCTCATTCAATTATTTAATTTAATTGTTTGTTTATTATTTTCCTTGAAGTTACTAACGTGTGTATTTTGTTACTAGAAAGAGGTCCAAGGCATACAAGTAAGTTCTTTAATTGATTAATTGATGTTATTATATAGAAATCATGCTTATGTTCTTATTATGATATTCGTAGAATCATGTCTAGGGTAACTTTAATATTAAGTATGATTAAAAGTATGGTGATTCCTATGTTTTTCCTAATATTTATGATTGTTAGTATCATGTTAGGGATAAAGCTTTGATTATTTTTTTAGTGACATGCTAGGGTTTGTTATTAATCTTGTTAGTATCATGCCTAGGATCTTGCTATTATTATGCTTTAACATTATTATGAATATTTTTATGATTCATGATTATAATTATTATTTTGATGATTATTTATTATGTTGCTTGATTATTTATTGTTATTGCTTGATCACACCTTTTATGCATATTTAAAGGGAATTTGTACTTGTAATCACTCTTAATAAGATAATTATTAATCTTGTTTAAGGTTAATTTGATTCTGATTCAAGTGATCGCCAATAGTAGTTTTATTTGTGCATTATATTCCACCAACATAGATTAAACAGGTTTAGGGTTAAGCCTATTGATTGTATGTTAGTCAGAAAGCGCACATGAATACGATCAGAATAAAGTAGAGGCCTATTATTAGGGCAGGTTCAATCTCTTTTAGGTTGGATTTGTACCTTCATCCCCGAACCCTATTTGGTTCAAGACCTTATGGAGTTGACGATCTCTTGGATCGTTAAGGGGTGTAACCTTCATCTCGTGAATGGTTTACAAGTTCCTAAAACTTGTTGGCGACTCTTTTGCTCTATCTTCTTTCCCTTTGGACGCCACCGTACTTTAGTGTATGATCAAAGTGGGGTTCAAACTAGGGATTAACGCTTTAAAAATTCCCTACAATTTGACTTCCATTCGTACTAAAAAGCTTTATTTTAATGTGTTGGACATTTTTTTTTTTGGTAAATATGGAGAATTTTATTACCAAAACGGGAAGTTACAACTTACTAAAGCTAAGAAGTAACAAACACCAAACCCCACAACCCCCACCTAGACTCAGCTTCGAAAGCAACAGGACAAGACAAAAGAGGGAAAGCACAACCTCAAGAAAACAACCAAGCAAAACACCAGAAAACAAAATAAATCCAATAACTGACTAAAATCAGCAGTAGCAGCAGACCAAAACCAGCAGCAGCAGGCTAGAAAACAGCAACATCAGCAGCCAGGAACAGCAACAACAGAACAGAACAGCAGCACCAGCAACTGATAGTTTGACAGCAGACTAGAACAGCTGCCAGTACTGCGTGCAGACCAAGAGCAACCCAAGCCACCAGCTGCCACCCTGAACAACCTATAGCAGATCTGAAACAGCTAGATAGCACTGCAACAGCAATAGAACAACAATAGAACAACAACAGGAACAAAACAGAAACAGCAACCCCAAATAGCAACCAGCTGCCAGAAACCAACCAGCAACTGCAACAAAAAAAAACCAGGCTGCAGAAGTCTGCAGGCAGCAAAGTAAGCAAAAAACTGACCAGAAACCATCTGCCACCCAACTAGAATAGCACCAGAAAACAACAGACCAAAAACAAACTGCAACACTAGAAATTCAGTGAAGTAGAAGCAGCTTCCTGTCTGTTCCCTTACATCTAATAGCAAATTGAAAAATAATGTCTTTAAAAACAATTTTTACAGGTTTATAGTCACCTGTAAACATAAAACTATTTCTTTAGCCATATACTGTGGAAAGCCTCAGCAAAACACGTAGAGTATACTCTACCCTTGCTGCTACACTTCCTTCAATTCTTAACTATCCATTTTTGTTCAATGTGAAAGGGTTGAACTGCTTTTTTCACATCAAGAAGCTTCAAAATCTGTTCCCAAATAGTCTTAAAGTAAGGACATCAAAAGAACAAGTGAGAGACAGTTTCACAAGAGTTCTGGAAAAAAAAAAAAAAAAAATAGGATCACAACTTGCATTCCACTTAACAATTCTGTCCTTAGTGGCAAATTTATCAAGCAGAGATAACCAAGTAATGAAAATACTCTTAGGAGCGGCTTGGTTATTGCAAACAATTCTTTTCCACCCTACTTTAGGAGCCTGTGGTCGAATCCGGGCATAAAGTTTAGCAATACTCATTTTCCCATTTTTCATAATAGAGGACCAGCCACCAATATCATCAATAATATCTCTGCAAGTCAAGATTTTCTTCAAAACCCAAGAGTATTTCTTGGGAATGGTAGCAGTCCAAATATTCCTATTGCTGAAATAATAGGTATGCACCATTTCACCCACATATTGTCAGATTTGTGAGCAAGATCCCAAAGAACCTTGCATATAGCAGCTTTATTCCAATCACCAAGAGAGGTAATATTCCAGCCACCACAAACCTTAGGAAGAGTCATATGATGCCAGGAGACAGGGGCCTTTTTTGCATAAGTGTTCTTCCCAGTCAAAAGAAAAATCCTGAACTTAGTTTCAATTTCCCTAAAAATCTTCTTAGGAAGAATGAAAATTTGATCCCAATAAGCCTAAATACCAAAGAGAACACTTTTGATAAGCTGAAACCTGCCAGCATAAGATAAGTGTCTAGAAGTCCAGCATCCAATCTAGCAGTAACCCTTTCAACCAAAGGCCACACTAAGCAACAACAAGCTTTTTAGAAGACAAGGGCACCCTAAGATATCTAAAAGGCAAACTACCTCTACTCATACCCAAGAACAGTTTGCAGCTGATCTTTATCAAAATCAGAGATGCCTCCAAAATAAACCTCACTCTTACTTAAATTAGCCATCAGACGAGAAGCACAAGAGAATTTCTGGAAAGTCAGCAAGAGAAGCTGAATAGAGATGGAATCAGCCCTAGAGAAGAGGAGAAGATCATCAGCAAACATCATGTGGGTAATACCTAATTTCTCACATCTAGGATAATAATTGAAATTAGGATTCCAAGTCATTTCCTTAAGGAACCTAGATAGGTACTCCTTACATAGAGCAAAGAGAAAAGGTGACATAGGATCTCCTTGCCTAAGACCTTTTTTTGCAAAAAAAGGCTTATCAGGAAAGCAATTAACCATTACAGAGTAAGAAAAAAAACAGACACAAGTCATAATCCACTTCACAACAGAATGAGGGAAACCAAGCTCTTCTAAAACAGTCTGCAAAAAGGGCCATTCAACAAAGTCATAGGCCTTCCTCAAATCAATCTTAATCATGCACCTAGGAGAAACAAACTTATGAGAGTAGCCTTTGATCAATTCAGTAGCCAGGAGAATATTGTCACTAATGTGCTTACCTGGGATAAACCCAGCTTGAGCATCATTAATAACAGTCCCCACCACTTTAGAAATCCTTTTTGTGAGAACTTTAGAGATCAACTTGTACAACATGGTACAATAAGCAATAGGCCTAAACTTTTTGACATAAGAAGGATGCTGAACCTTAGGCACTAAGGTGATTGTTGTACAATTCCACTGCTTAGCAATGACACCAGTCTCAAAGAAAAAGAAGATAGCAGCATAGATATCAGTTTTTATCATAGGCCAAGCCTTTTTGAAGAAAACAACATTGAAACCATAAATTCCAGGCGCCTTATCATCTCTAATCTGAGCTAGAGCATTATCAATCTCATAAGTAGTAACCACAGAAGTCAAAATATCAATGGAGCTAGAGCTGAGTTGAGAACCTCTCCTAATAGTGGCCAAGTCAACAACAGGGTGATAACTAGCACTAGAACCAAGGAGCCCTTTATAAAACCCCACAATCTCATTTTCAATAAGCATAGGATCTTTTAAAAGGACATCATCTTCAATGAAGATAGAATCAATTTTATTTCTACCTTGCCTGTGCTTCATAACAGAAAAGAAGTAGTGAGAACTGGAGTCCCCCAGCTTATTCCAATCAACCCTAGATTTCTGCTTATAAATGGACTCCTGGATATACATCCAATGCTTCACCATATTTACAGCTTCAGCCTGTTTAACATGAAGGTCAGAGTTAGAATAATCCACAGCAAGATGGTCTTGAATGGCTTTCAAAGAGGCAAGAGCCACATCAACTTTCTCATCAACATTAGCAAAGTACTTAGTGTTCAGATCTTTCAGGTTCTTTTTCACAGATTTCAAATTTTACCAAATAGTAACCATAGCAGAAGAATCTGTAACACTATGCCAGCTGTTTTCCACAATAGAACAAAAGTCAACATGACCAGCTAGGTAATTAAGAAATCTAAAAGGTCTCCCCTTAGCAACAACAAATCTACACACTTTAGCCAAAAGAGGGTTGTGATCAGAAAGGAGAGAGGGAAGATAAATAGATTCAACATGAGAATACTTGTTCAACCAAGCCTGATTCACTAGCCCCCAGTCAATCCTTGTAGCAATTCTAGTATCACCATGACCCTTATTATACCAAGAGTAAAAAGAACCTTTACTCTTGAGCTCACAAAGATCAAGATTGTCAACAAAAACTTCTAAAATGGTTAACCTCATAATCAGTGACAGCATTACCATTAATATTATCATAAGAATTGAGAACAGAATTAAAGTCACCAACAACAAGCCAAGGTCCAGAAAAAGCTCCAAGACTAGAAATACCATCCCAAGGAGGTAATCTGTCATGAATAGAATGCAAGCCATACACAAAGGTACAGAAAATCTGATGCTGAAGATCCTTGGATCTAATTTGGACATGAATGTGTTTGACTTTCATTTGATTCAAAAGGCTTTGTTTTATGTGTTTAACATTTATTTGATTGTATTAAATGCATTTGAATTTCATTCGTTTAAAAAAGCTTTGTTTAAATGTGTTTGACTTTCATTTGATTGAAAAAGCTTTATTTTGATGTGTTTGAATTTCATTTGATTCAAAAAGCTTTATTTGAATGTGATTAATTTTCATTTGATTAAAATAGATTTGTTTGAATATGTTTGAATTTCATTTGACTCAATTTGTTTCGTTGAATGCATTTGACATTCGTTCAACTCAAAAAGCTTTGTTTGAAAGTATTTGACTTTCCTTAGATTCAAAAGATTTGTTTGAATGTGTTTTACTTTCATTTGATTCAAAAATCTTTGTTTGATTGTGTGTGACTTTCATCTGATTCAATTAGCTTCTTCAAATGCATTTTACTTTCAATGATTCTAAAAGATTTGTTCGAATGTAAATGACTTTCATTTGATTTAAAATGCTTTGTTTTAATGTGTTTCACTTTTATTTGATTGAATTAGCATCGTTGAATGCATTTTGCTTTCATTCGATTCAAAAAAGCTTTGTTTGAATATGTTTGAATTTCATTTGATTCAAAAACCTTTGTTTGCTTGTGTTTGACTTCGTTTCATTTAATTAGCTTCGTTGAATACATTTGACTTTTATTAGATTTTAAAAGCTTAGTTTAAATAGGTTTGACTATCATTTGATTCAAAAAGCTTTGTTTAATGTGTTTAACTTTTATTTGATTGAATTAGCGTCGTTAAATGCATTTGAATTTCATTTGATTCAAAAAGCTTTATTTGAATAAGTTTTACTTTTATTTGATTCAAAAAACTTTATTAGAATGTGTTTAACTTTTATTTGATTAAAAAAGATTTGTTTGAATGCGTTTGAATATAACTTGATTCAATTAGCATCATTGAATGCATTTGACATTAGTTCAATTAAAAAAAGCTTCGTTTGAATGTGTTTGACTTTCCTTAGATTAAAAAAGATTTGGTTGAAAGTCCTTAGATTAGCATCATTGAATGTATTTGACTTTCCTTAGATTCAAATGATTTGTTTGAATTGTTTGACTTTCATTTAATTCAAACAGCATTATTTGATTGTGTGTGACTTTCATTTGATTCAATTAGCTTCGTCGAATGCATTTTACTTTCATTTGATTCAAAAAGCTTTGATTTAATGTGTTTAAATTTAATTTGATTCAGAAAACTTTGTTTTATTTTTTTCACATTTAATTGATTGAATTAGCTTTGTTGAATGCATTTGAGATTTATTCAATTTAACAAACTTTGTTTGAATGTGTTTGACATTCATTTGATTTAAAAAGCTTTGTTTAAATGTGTTTAACTTTCATTTGATTCAAAAACCTTTGTTTGAATGTGTTTTACTTTTAGTTGACTTAAAAAGCTTTGTATAAATGTGTTTGACTTTCATTTAATTTAGTTAGCTTCGTTGAATTAAATAGACTTTCATTCAATTGAAAAAGCTTTGTTTGAGTGTCTTTGACTTTCATTTCAATGAAAAACCTTTGTTTAAATGTGTTTGACTTTCACTTGATTTAATTAGTTTCTTTAAATGCATTTGACCTTCATTCGATTTAAAAAGTTTTGTTTAAATGGTTTGACTTTCAATTGATTCAAAAAGAATTGTGTGAATGTGTGTGACTTTTATTTGTATCAAAAACATTTGTTTTAGTGTGTTTGACTTTCATGTTATTCAAAAAGATTGGTTCTAATGTGTTTTACTTTCATTTGATTCAATTAGATTCGTTGAATGAATTTGACTTTCGGTTGAATTAAAAAGCTTTGTTTGAATGTTTTAAACTTTCATTTGATTCAAAAAGCTTTGTTTGAATGTGTTTAACTTTCATTTGATTCAAAAGCTTTGTTTGATTGTGTTTGAGTTCATTTGATTCAATTAGCTTCGTTGAATACATTTGACTTTCATTCGTTTAAAAAAGCTTTGTTTGAATGTGTTTGAATTTCATTTGATTCAAAAGGTTTTGTTTTATGTGTTTGACTTTTATTTGATTGAATTAGCTTCGTTGAATGTATTTGAATTTCATTCGATTCAAAAAGCTTTGTTTTAATGTGTTTGACATTCATTTGATTCAAAAAGCTTTATTTGAATGTGTTCGACTATCATTTCATTCAAAAAGCTTTGTTTGAATGTGTTTAACTTTCATTTGATTAAAAAATATTTGTTTGAATTTGTATGAATTTCATTTGATTCAATTAGCTTCATTGAATGCATTTGACATTGATTCAATTTAAAAATCTTTGTTTGAATGTGTTTGACTTTCGTTAGATTCAAAAGCTTTGTTTAATTGTGTTTAAGTTCATTTGATTCACTTAGCTTTGCTGAAAACATTTGACTTTCATTCGATTAAAAAAGCCTTGTTTGAATGTGGTTGACTTTCTTTTGATTCAAAAAGCTTTGTTTAAAAGTGTTTAACTTTCATTTGATTCAAAAACATTTGTTTGAATGTGTTTTAATTTTAGTTGATTGAAAAAGCTTTGTTTAAATGTGTTTGACTTTCATTTAATTTAGTTAGCTTCGTTGAATGAAATAGACTTTCATTCCATTCAAAAAGCTTTGTTTGAATGTGTTTGACTTTCCTTTCAATGAAAAACCTTTGTTTAAATGTGTTTGACTTTCACTTGATTTAATTAGCTTCTTTAAATGCATTTGACCTTCATTCGATTTAAAAACCTTTGTTTAAATGGTTTGACTTTCATTTGATTCAAAAAGAATTGTGTGAATGTGTTTGTCTTTTATTTGATTCTAAAATCTTTGTTTTAGTGTGTTTGACTTTCATGTTATTCAAAAAGATTGGTTCTAATGTATTTTACGTTGATTTGATTCAATTAGATTCGTTGAATGAATTTGACTTTCGTTTGAATTAAAAAGCTTTGTTTGAATGTTTTAAACTTTCATTTGATATAAAAAGCTTTGTTTGAATGTGTTTAACTTTCATTTGATTCAAAAGCTTTGTTTGATTGTGTTTGAGTTCATTTGATTTACTTAGCTTCGTTGAATACATTTTACTTTCATTCGATTAAAAAAGCTTTGTTTGAATGTGTTTGAATTTCATTTGATTCAAAAGGCTTTGTTTTATGTGTTTGACTTTTATTTGATTGAATTAGCTTCGTTGAATGCATTTGAATTTCATTCGATTCAAAAAGCTTTGTTTTAATGTGTTTGACATTCATTTGATTCAAAAAGCTTTATTTGAATGTGTTTGACTTTCATTTCATTAAAAAAGCTTTGTTTGAATGTGTTTAACTTTCATTTGATTAAAAAATATTTGTTTGAATTTCATTTGATTCAATTAGCTTCATTGAATGCATTTGACATTGGTTCAATTTAAAAAGCTTTGTTTGAATGTGTTTGACTTTCCTTAGATTCAAAAGCTTTGTTTAATTGTGTTTAAGTTCATTTGATTCACTTAGCTTCGTTGAATACATTTGACTTTCATTCGATTAAAAAAGCCTTGTTTGAATGTGTTTGACATTCATTTGATTTAAAAGGCTTTGTTTAATGCGTTTAACTTTTATTTGATTGAATTAGCTTCGTTGAATGCATTTGAATTTCATTTGATTCAAAAAGCTTTATTTAAATGTGTTTTACTTTTATTTGATTCAAAAAACTTTATTTGAATGTGTAACTTTCATTTGATTAAAAAAGATTTGTTTGAATGCGTTTGAATATAACTTGATTCAATTAGCATCATTGAATGTATTTGACATTAGTTCAATTAAAAAAGCTTCGTTTGAATGTGTTTGACTTTCCTTAGATTTAAAAAGCTTTGGTTGAAAGTGATTGACTTTTAGTTGGTTCACAAAGCTTTGTTTGAATGTATTTTAGTTTCCTTAGATTTAAATGAATTGTTTGAATTGTTTGACTTTCATTTGATTCAAACAACATTGTTTAATTGTGTGTGACTTTCATTTGACTCAATTAACTTCGTTGAATGCATTTGACTTTCATTCGATTCAAAAAGCTTTGATTTAATGTGTTTAACTTTAATTTGATTCAAAAAACTTTGTTTTATTTTTATTTACATTTATTTGATTGAATTAGCTTTGCTGAATGCATTTGAGATTCATTCAATTTAACAAACTTTGTTTGAATGTGTTTGACTTTCATTTGATTCAAAAAGCTTTGTTTAAATGTGTTTAACTTTCATTTGATTCAAAAACCTTTGTTTGAATGTGTTTTACTTTTAGTTGATTTAAAAAGCTTTGTTTAAATGTTTTTGACTTTCATTTAATTTAGTCAGCTTCGTTGAATTAAATAGACTTTCATTCCATTCAAAAAGCTTTGTTTGAACGTGTTTGACTTTCATTTCAATGAAAAACCTTTGTTTAAATGTGTTTGACTTTCACTTGATTTAATTAGCTTCTTTAAATGCATTTGACCTTCATTCGATTTAAAAATCTTTGTTTAAATGGTTTGACTTTCAATTGATTCAAAAAGAATTGTGTGAATGTGTTTGACTATTATTTGATTCAACAACCTTTGTATAAGGGTGTTTGACTTTCAAGTTATTCAAAAAGATTGGTTCCAATGTGTTTTACTTAGATTTGATTCAATTAGATTCGTTGAATGAATTTGACTTTCGTTTGAAATAAAAAGCTTTGTTTGAATGTTTTAAACTTTCATGTGATTCAAAAAGCTTTGTTTCAATGTGTTTAATTTTCATTTGATTCAAAAGCTTTGTTTGATTGTGTTTGAGTTCATTTGATTCACTTAGCTTCGTTGAATACATTTGACTTTCATTCGATTAAAAAAGCTTTGTTTGAATGTGTTTGAATTTCATTTCATTCAAAAGGCTTTGTTTTATGTGTTTGACTTTTAATTGATTGAATTAGCTTCGTTGAATGCATTTGAATT